CATGATCCGTGTGAATGGGAAACATTTTGACAATGTTGTCTGTACGCAGAAAACTCAAAAGGAAAAACTTCTCAGTTTTAAGCATATCATTGTCGAGTAAATGTACCCCAAGAAATCATATATTTTAATCAAATGAATTGCATTATATTCAAATTAATTAATCGCAAATATTTCACAAAGGGGAGAAAAAGGTTCATTGAATGCATTGAATAAGGGCGCAAATCAAAATGAGGTGCCAAATTCATATTTATTTGAGCATTAATCTTTTTAAATTATGTTTTAATTTGGTTTGCACTGTTTTTGACAAGAATTTTATTTCATTAGCCTACTAATCATGTTTTATTTAGAAATGATGGTTGAGTTCTTTAATTGGCTGCCTATCTTGGCAAGATAAAGAGATGTTTTCCTGCTCCACCCGATGACCCTCCAGTGCAACAGAGATAATCGACACTGACTTTTGCCTGCAGTAATTTTCAATAATGCATTTTTTGATAATCACATGAAAATGTTAAATTACCAACCCTAATGTATACTCGCATAATAATTGATTCAGTTTCAGCATTCAAATTCAGCATTATCAACAAAATAATTGACAAATTAAACAAATAAACATCTGTCTTCTTTGTCTATGTCCCTCATAACTGGCTGTTGACTACCTGCTGTCTTCTCACTACCTGTCCTCTTTTAGCTGCTTCTCCTTTACAAACACATACACAGTAGATCAACACACTTGACCATTCCTGATAGGAGTTAAGAAATACCTGGCTCTTATCTGTGCGTTTGTAAATCACTCCTGATTTATTCATTTCTTCCATTTCCTCCAGAGCTTTACAGAGCAATCAATCGCCCTGTTAGCTGGCCCTGATCGAATGCGAGCTGATAAGTTAAATGTTCTTTGTCACCGAGCACTATATAACAGTGTTTTTAGCCCTATATTGATTGCTGATTTTCTTTGGCTCAGCAAAGCTTTTCAATATGTCAGCAGTTGGAAATTTATCTAATACTGTCAGGCTACCTGTCAGGTATACCGGATATAATTCCAATAAAAACACGCGCAAAACCTAAAGTGCTGACTTAGTGCATTTTCACTATTAATTTATTTCTTTCTTTTTTTTGAATACCAAGCATAAAATGTTCCAACTATGACAGACATCACTTGAATAGGTGTCCTGAGAAATCACACCGGTTTTTGTGACATGCTCTGTAAAATGCACAGCTCACAGTGTTTTAGCCAATCAGAAATGCTCTCTGCAAGTAAATCATTTTGCGCTTTCGAGCTTGCTGACATGTCTGTGGTCGGTGGGGTTTTTATGAGTATGCACACAGTCTAATTCATTAGATAAGTCCGGCAGAACTAAGCATATTCTCTTACAGCACATTTAAAATGGAAGTGTGTAATTTCTGCACTACTAATAGCAGCACTAAAAAGAATTGCATTGTTTGTTTGGGCAACCCGACTGAGATGGACATGCTATTTTCTTATTCACAGGCATACATTTGGGATGGGACTATGTTTGCTGAACAATGGCAGACGGAGTAAGCGTTTAAAACATATTTGAATATATTCATAATGCTGTTTGGTGTCGCTACACTGCACCTTTAAATAATGCTGATGAATCTGTTTTTTACTAACAGGATTTCTTGCACACTCTGAAACCGTTCAATCCGATTAACTCGTTAATCAGATTAGCCAAATAAACATTAATCCCATTAATTTAGAGCATCACGCTGCAGCTCAGTCATTGTCTGATGTTCTGAAATGATCATCAAGCCACAAGCACATTTTCAAACCAAAGCAAGAGCTCACCGTCTCCCCCTATTGACTGAACTGGAGTTTGGGGATCGTCTGCAAGATTAAGGAGGATTGGGACATGTTTGTAGGCAGAAAAATATGTGGCAGGAAAAAAACAGGTGCACAAGCAGTGGACAAGGGTTCAAGAAATGTTCTTTTCCCAACTCTATTTGTACCTATATTTTTTAAAGCTAGCGTGGCTATCAGAAGGTGAACACCAAAAAAGCACATAGCCTGTGAAGCATTTATCAAACAGATTGAACCCATGACAGAACAGACCACAGCCTCATGTTTGATGGGGTAAATGTGAAATGCCTCCTTTATATGGTATAATTTTCTTCAGAAACAACAGTCGTCGTCGCCTAGCGTGTCCTTGGCTTATGCTGAACATTGAGGGTTGGTAATTAAATTGAGAACAATAGTGCTCAAAAGGGTCATTTCAACAGCAGGAGCGCATTAAAACTGCACACAAACTGCAATAACATAGCGTTATAATAAACTGATCCATCAGCTAAGCTGTATTTAAGTCAATGACAAAAAAAAAACTAAAAAAACTTTAAAGCCATTTAATGGCAGTTGATCAGGGAGTGCATAGAGAGCAGTCGCCTCAACCTGCTTTCATTTTGGACAATGATCCTCGGGTGGTCCAATATATGCAGCCCGATTTCTTTTTTAAACGTTCACGTTCTTCCGCAGAGTGCATGCAAATGGGGCCCTGGCTTAATTACCATTTAGCAGTCTAATAGCAAGAGTAGAGGAAACTTCTGCAACAGTCACTGCTGGGCATTGTGCAGAGGCAAAGCCCCTGGACTGAAATATTATGTAAATTATTAATTTCCTCATAGACTAACACAGTTGTGCTATTTGGTTACCCACAAGCGTGCCGCTACATGTTAATTAATCTCACTGAGAGGGAAAAGTATCAGAAAATGTTATTATGCAATCATGATTAACACAAGATACAGCTGCGCAGATGTGTTTATATTAAATTAAAGAGGTGGCTCATATTTTTTTACTTACAAAAACCTCCCAGAATTGATTAACTATAATTAATTAAAACCATTAATTATGGCATAGGCTATCTTTTCCCCCCTTCTTTATAGAATTTTATAGTAAAATGGTATGCATGTTTATGGATGTTTTCACCATATATTGAAACATCCGTTAGCTTTGTTCTGAAACCGAGACCAATGTTGTATTTTTTGCTTGGTTAATTTCGCTTTCACATGGCAACATTTCAAACCGAACCTAAATTTGTTAATAAAAGTCACATCTAAGCAAACTGTCCCCTCATTGGTCAGAATATTCAACACATGGTGGAGACATTTTCAAATTTTAAGATGGATAGACAACAGCTCTGCGGACTAATAATGAGCACAGAAAGAAAGCCATGATTTGTCATTACATTACATCATCTTAAAGGGATAGTTCACTAAAAAATGAAAATTCTGTAATCATTTACTCACCCTCATAAAACTGACTGACTTTTTTCTCTGGAACACAAAAAGAAGATATTCTGAAGAATGTTTAACTGCTTTTGTCCATACAATGAGAGACAGTGGGGTTCAAAACAACATTGGACCACATAGGCTTTCATTGTATGAAGGAGAAAAAAAACATTAAGGAATTTTTCTAAATATCTTCTTTTGTGTGGAAGCGCCATTTGAATTTGCCTACATTTTTATTTTCCATTTAAGTGCCATTCTCAGTACCTTTGTCCTTGCAATGAGTGACATTTCAGCCAAAGCAAACATTTTAAAATGTACTATTTGCTGGTCCACATTATTGATTTACATTTCCATAAATTTGAGTGTGTTGGTTGAGCGAGAGCCTTCTGACCGCTGCATGTTTAATAGATAGCCCTGTGTGCTATGGGAGCAGAGCGCGTTATCTGAATTCTCAGACTCAGGAAAAGCTTTGAAATCATGCCTAAGACTAATGAAAGAGGAGCAGGAGGAAGGAAGGAATGAGCAGCGGAGAGGTGTGATCTACCTACGGAGAGATTACCATGTACCCCTGGGCTCTCATCTTACACTGTGTGGGGAGGCATGCGGTATCGTTCGTTCACATGGCAGCGCGGTGAAGAAAAGGTCTCGTAGCTGAGGTGTTAAGATTTATTCTCCACTATAAATCTGCAGAAAGAATCCCCCACACTAGATTTTTAATATCATGCCGATACCACACTATCTGCCCATGGACAATATGTTCAACTGACTTTGACAAATCAAACACTTAAGAAAAATTGCAATATCCCTCACAGTGCAGCTCTGCAGGGAGGAGAAATGGATGAACAACAGCAAGTGTGAGAATATTTCTCCTAAAAGGTGCCACAGGATGTAGTGGAACAAATAAACAGCCAGTTTATCCACAGGATGGATGTGACATCATTATCTGCCCATAACAGCATCGCCAACTATTTGGATGGAAAGTTTTCCCACTGCACAGAATAATTGCTCACTCTGGGGTACAGTGAGGCTGGCATTCAGAAAACATCTATGCAAAATGGCACAGAGCAATCAGATCCTACTTGTTCAATTCTTGAAACAAACTGCATCTAGATTTGAGGGAAATTGCTGGGATGTGTCAAACTTTGAAATAATAGAGCCGACCCCCAAAAAAATGTTCTACATAATATACAGTTTTGCATTTGTATTTCTAAACCGTTTATATATGCTGATATATATATTCAGATATGTAATTTTGTCAGTGGTTCCAATATACTTTCATATAGTTTTGCATGCATCACATAGAACATTCTCTTCCAACAATTTTAAATACATTCTTCATTACTTCACTATATTCATTGTCATTATCTAAATGACAGATATTACTGAAAATAAAAAGTTCTCCAATCATAATATGCATCAAAAGGGCATATTAAACCAACTTCTTTAAAACCATCCATGCAATGTTTTTACTCACTGTACTTTGCACTTGTGAGCCATTCAAAAACAACAAATGCATACTGATACTTCTGGAGTACTGTTTCAAACAATTCAACTCAATGCATGTTCAAATAGAAGAATAATACAGCTTTTGGTCACAGTCTTATCCCTGATGTGACTTCAGTAACCTGACATTAGCTCTGAAGCTCAGATTGATAATGTTTTGATTGATGCAGAAAACACAAACCCCAATCAGTCCCCTCAAGTACAGCACAGCCGCGATGAGAAGAGAGCACTTATTAAACACAAGCCGCTCAACTTACCTAGTTTTGGAACCCGGTGCTGTAATTGCCTCAGATCTTCACCTTATCTGCTCCACCCTGGTCCGTGAGCAGCTTTCTCCCTCTCACAATGTTTCTGGCAAAGGTCTATTGATCGGTCAAGCTGTGTTTTCTGTAGTCTATTGTTGCCACCGGTTAGATTGGAGCTCCTCTCTGGCTGCCTGTCGCGGCTGCAATGAGGATGGCTGAGCAACGTGTACACCTTGCTCTCGCACTAACTCCGTCTCTCTCTGTCTATCCGCCTTTCGCACCCTCCTTCTCTCTCTCTCTCTCTCTCTCTCTCTCTCTCTCTCGCACACGCTATCTCTGTCTCCCTCCCTCACCCGGCGACACCCCCCGCTCTCGTTCTCTTTCCTTCTCCTACCCTCCCTATGCCTCTCTACCCCCTGTCTTGTTCTCTCTCTCTCCCATTGTATTGATCTGCTAGCGCTGGCGTTCTCCTCCTGCAGCCTCTAGAGGGTGTTCCAATAGCCGACAGTAGCCAGTCCAGAACTAATCCCACTAGCTTCAGTTCGGCTTCGTTGGAGAAAGCTGTAGAGAGGAGAATGGAGAGAGAGAGAGAGAGAGAGAGAGAGAGAGAGAGAGAGAGAGAGAGAGAGAGAGAGAGAGAGAGAGAGAGAGAGAGAGAGAGAGAGAGAGAGAGACAAACGGATGAGATGTGTATTCTCTCACACACTATATAAAAAGCTAAATTTACAGTAAAAGCTGGCAGCTTTAGTTGGCACAGGTTCACTGTAAAAATACAGTGACAACATTTCAGGCATTACAAGAGGCATTATTTTGGTGCCTGTATGCTCATTATATATATACACGAATGTCAGAATGGGCCACTTTATTAGGTACACCTGTCCAACTGCTCGTTAACACTTAATTTCTAAGCAGCCAATCACATGGCGGCAACTCAGTGCATTTAGGCATGTAGACATGGTCAAGACAATCTCCTGCAGTTCAAACCGAGCATCAGTATGGGGAAGAAAGGTGATTTGAGTGACTTTGAACGTGGCATGATTGTTGGTGCCAGAAGGGCTGGTCTGAGTATTTCAGAAACTGCTAATCTACTGGGATTTTCACGCACAACCATCTCTAGGGTTTACAGAGAATGGTCCGAAAAAGAAAAAACATCCAGTGAGCGGCAGTTCTGTGGGCGGAAATGCCTTGTTGATGCCAGAGGTCAGAGGAGAATGGCCAGACTGGTTCGAGCTGATAGAAGGGCAACAGTGACTGAAATAACCACTCGTTACAACCGAGGTATGCAGTAAAGCATTTGTGAAGCCACAACACGCACAACCTTGAGGCGGATGGGCTACAACAGCAGAAGACTCCACCGGGTACCACTCATCTCCACTACAAATAGGAAAAAGAGGCTACAATTTGCAAGAGCTCACCAAAATTGAACAGTTGAAGACTGGAAAAATGTTGCCTGGTCTGATGAGTCTCGATTTCTGTTGAGACATTCAGATGTTAGAGTCAGAATTTGGCGTAAATAGAATGAGAACATGGAACCATCATGCCTTGTTACCACTGTGCAGGCTGGTGGTGGTGGTGTAATGGTGTGGGGGATGTTTTCCTGGCACACTTTAGGCCCCTTAGTGCCAATTGGGCATCGTTTAAATGCCACGGCCTACCTGAGCATTGTTTCTGACCATGTCCATCCCTTTATGGCCACCATGTACCCATCCTCTGATGGCTACTTCCACTATGTCACAAAGCTCTAATCATTTCAAATTGGTTTCTTGAACATGACAATGAGTTCACTGTACTAAAATGGCCTCCACAGTCACCAGATCTCAACCCAATAGAGCATCTTTGGGATGTGGTGGAACAGGAGATTCGCATCATGGATGTGCAGCCGACAAATCTGCGGCAACTGTGTGATGCCATCATGTCAATATGGACCAAACTCCCTGAGGAATGCTTCCAGCACCTTGTTGAATCTATGCCACGAAGAATTGAGGCAGTTCTGAAGGCAAAAGGGGGCCCAACCCGTTACTAGCATGGGGTACCTAATAAAGTGGCCGGTGAGTGTATATATATATATATATATATATATATATATATATATATTTTTTTTTTATTGATTGATTGATTTGTTTATTTAAGTGTCAAACACCTTTTATGGTGCCCAGCCCTCATGGGCTTAATAGACACTACAACTTCACAAATATCACCAAATAGCCACGTGACATAAGACAGAGTCCAACATAGCATAACTAAACCACTTAAAAAAAAAAAAGTACACATACAAATAGAGACGGGATACAAAATACTTTTTTTATATATATATATACACACTCACCTAAAGGATTATTAGGAACACCTGTTCAATTTCTCATTAATGCAATTATCTAATCAACCAATCACATGGCAGTTGCTTCAATGCATTTAGGGGTGTGGTCCTGGTCAAGACAATCTCCTGAACTCCAAACTGAATGTCAGAATGGGAAAGCATTATGAGCATGGCATGGTTGTTGGTGCCAGACGGGCCGGTCTGAGTATTTCACAATCTGCTCAGTTACTGGGATTTTCACGCACAACCATTTCTAGGGTTTACAAAGAATGGTGTGAAAAGGGAAAAACATCCAGTATGCGGCAGTCCTGTGGGCGAAAATGCCTTGTTCATGCTAGAGGTCAGAGGAGAATGGGCCGACTGATTCAAGCTGATAGAAGAGCAACTTTGACTGAAATAACCACTCGTTACTTACAACTGAGGTATGCAGCAAAGCATTTGTGAAGCCACAACACGCACAACCTTGAGGCGGATGGGCTACAACAGCAGAAGACCCCACCGGGTACCACTCATCTCCACTACAAATAGGAAAAAGAGGCTTTTGAAAAGAACTGTGCAGGCTGGTGGTGGTGGTGGTATAATGGTGTGGGGGAAGTTTTCTTGGCACACTTTAGGCCCCTTAGTGCCAATTGGGCATCGTTTAAATGCCACGGCCTACCTGACCATTGTTTCTGACCATGTCCATCCCTTTATGGCCACCATGTACCCATCCTCTGATGGCTACTTCCAGCAGGATAATGCACCATGTCACAAAGCTCGAATCATTTCAAATTGGTTTCTTGAACATGACAATGAGTTCACTGTACTAAAATGGCCCCCACAGTCACCAGATCTCAACCCAATAGAGCATCTTTGGGATGTGGTGGAACGGGAGCTTCGTGCCCTGGATGTGCATCCCACAAATCTCCATCAACTGCAAGATGCTATCCTATCAATATGGGCCAACATTTCTAAAGAATGCTTTCAGCACCTTGTTGAATCAATGCCACGTAGAATTAAGGCAGTTCTGAAGGTGAAAGTGGGTCAAACACAGTATTAGTATGGTGTTCCTAATAATCCTTTAGGTGAGTGTGTGTATATATATATATATATATATATATATATATATATATATATATATAGAAATGATGGGATGTTAATATACCAGCCTGTTTACACAAATTAGATCAAATTTGTACTTTTATATATAGTGGAGTATGCCGGTCTAAGAAGATTATGCATACTGCTACCATATTCCAATATGAGTTTTATCCTAACTGTCATTTGATTTCTTCTGAATATATAGTTGCAATTGAAATTATTCAACTCCCATTGCAAATCAGGTTTACTGGCAAAATGTACAGACTTTCAGCTGTTTATAATGAACAAATCAAACAAAAGTAATTGAAATAGCAAAACACAACAAAAGTGTTTTCCCCAAATTTAAATGAAAATGCAACTTTTAATGACTTCTGCAGTTTCAAAATTATTCAACCCCCTGAATATAATCCCTCACAACAGCACAAATCTGCAAAAAAAGGTGTTGTCTCATGCACCCAGATGCAACTAATCAAGGGCTTCATTAGTTGCACCAGGTGTGCTTGAGCTAGAACACACAACATATCTGAACTGGCTTGGTTTTTGGAGTGTCACGTTTGACTGCAAGTTGGAAAGTCAAAAGAATGGTCCAAAAAGTTAAATGAAAGTCAACGACTGCAACCAGATTTCTGAGAAAGCAGGTTCAGAAAAACCCTCGAGTGACTGCAAAAGACCTGCAGCAACACTTGGTGGCAACAGGCACTGAGGTTTCAGCTTGCACAGTGAGGTGCGTACTAAACGCATGCCAGAACTCAAAGATGTACACCACTACTGACCCAAAAGCACAAGAAAAGTCGGCTCCAATTTGATCAAAATCATATAAATAAGCCACAGAAGTTCTGTGGAGCGATGAAACAAAACTTTTCGGCCCTATGGATCAAGGGTATGTCTGAAGGAAGAAAGAATGAAGCATATGCTAAAATGAACACTCTGTCTACTCTTAAGCATGATGGTGATTCAGTGATGCTCTGCGGCTGCTTTGCATCCTCTGGCACTGGAAACCTGCAGCGTGTGGAAGGAAAGATGGATTTATTGAAGTATCAGGAAATCCTAGAAGAAAATGTCATGCCGTCAGTGAGGAAGCTGAAGCTTGGGCGTCATTAGACCTTCCAACAGGACAATGATCCCAAGCATACCTCAAATTACAACAAGGCTTGGTTGCAGAAGAAGTCCTGGAAGATTCTAGTGCCATCAGGCACCTGGCTTGAACCCCATAAAAAATCTCTGGTGGGATTTGAAGGCGGCGGTTGCAGCATGCAAACCCAAGTATATTACTGAACTGGAGGCCATTGCTCAAGAGGAATGGGCTAAGATTCCTCAGAAACGCTGCCAGAAGCTGGTGTCTGGTTCTACATCTCATTTGCAGCAGGTCAGAACAGCAAAAGGGTGTTCTACTAAGTACTGAAGATGCTTGCCATGGAGGGGTTGAATAATTTTGAAACTGCAGAAGTCATTAAAAGTTGAAACCACTTGAAACCTTTGTTGTGTTAAGCTATTTAAATTACTTTTGTTTGATTTCTTCATTGCAAACAGCTGGAACAGGGGTGGTCGTGGCGCAGTGGATAAGACACATGCCTTTGGTGTGAGAGACCCGGGTTCGAATCCACTGTGAGACACCAATGTGTCCCTGAGCAAGACACTTAACCCCTAGTTGCTCCAGAGGCGTGCGACCTCTGACATATATAGCAATTGTAAGTCGCTTTGGATAAAAGCGTCAGCTAAATGAATAAATGTAAATGTAAACTGTAGTTTTTTGCCAAAAAACCTGATTTCGATTGCAACTGTATATACTGTGTAAAGGTACTTTTGTAATATGTACTTTTTATTAAATTAAGTATGAGTTGGGTTATTGGTAAAATATTTGTGTAAATGTTGTGACTTATTCAA